GTATTTATAATTAAGTATATTCCTAAGTATTTTATTTGCTGTTACTAGGAATATTTTTTTTTCATCTTCTTTTGCTTTAAACTAGAGGCCCAGTGCATGAAAATTTCCACACTGGAGGGGTTCCCTCAGCCCAGCCTGCCCCCTCTCACAGTCTGGGAGCCCTCAGCGGATGTCCTACTGATGGCTTAGCCACAGTCTGGCCTCCCTCTGCGGGAGGCTACCGGGCAGATTGGGGAAGGCGCTGCCCCATCACCCTGCTGCTGCTGTCTCCTCGACCCTCGCAGCCACTGCAGCTTTGTCCGAAGGACGTCCAGTCTATGTGGTCTAATTAGCACATTACCCTTTTATTAGTATAGGTAAGCAAAATTTGGAAATATAGCTGTTTCCCTTCCTTTCAACTTATCTTTCCTTAGAGAGGCACACTATTCCTAAATTGAGATGAATTATTTTCATTTAGCATTTACCATCTATTTCTAAGGTCATTATTTGAATCATATAAAATGCTATTATTGTTGGTCAGAAAGATCAAACATTAGTAATTTTATGTCTCAGTCTTACTAGGTGTATTCTATTATTTTGAGATTTAACAATACATAAAACTAATATAATATTGTATGCCACTATAACTGAATAATAACAAGTAAAATTAAATATATATAAAGGCTTTCAAAAATAACTTGTTCTTTGAAAATTACCTTCTGAAAACCCCAATATTGTTTTCATGATACTTAGCTGTGAAGATTTAGTTCATTCAATTGAACATCTCTGCTGCAATCCTCATATAAATAGCCAATGTTTATTCATGCATTTCCTTAATGAGGCACTGTTAGATTGTTTGCCATCATTGAACTCTACAATAACGATGTAATACGTGTAAATCTTTATGTTCTCTGAAAGACTCCAGGAGAGAATTTCCCTGTGGAAGAGCCCTTTGAAATGGGTTGCCAGATTATGGTACCCACTGGTCAATACCACCTGGTATTTTTAAATTGAGCTCCAAAGAAACCGTACTAATTACGGTCACAGTAATATGTAAAGAGTCCATTTTCTCTCAAGCCAATACTGGCATAATCAGAATTAATTTGTACAGCCTAACAGGTATAAAATTGCAATTACTTGTTTTCATTTTGTTTTATAGTTCCCTAATTACACTAATGTTGACAACTTTTCCTATGTTTATTGGACACCTGGCATCAATTTTCTGTAAATTATCTATGTATGCCATTTGTTTCTATTTCTATTTGCTTCTTTTTTCTTATTGTTATCTATCTCTTCAAATATGTCTTATGGCAATTGGATTATATACATATTTGATGGCTATGCAGACATATACATATATATGTATAAATATATATTTAAAGATAGTCCCCATTCTGTAATTTATAAAATATCTATGCTGTATATATTTATATAGATTTTTATTTGCAGGTACTAAAATTTACCCAACTTTATTTATTATGTGTGTGGGTTGTGCATATTTAAGACATGATATCTAAGATATCATAGAGAATAATCTAAATAATTGAGATTATTTTTCAAGTTTAAGCCCCAATCATTCTGAAAATAACCTTGATAAGATATATTTAGCTATATTCCATTTTTATATCTGCATATCCAATTTTACTGATAACATTAATTAGACATCCAATTATAATTCACTTATTTGTAATGCTACTCAGTGTAGTAATACACATTCAGTTAAGACTTACAGTTATTAGACAAAAAAAGATAAGAGACAAAATTCAGGACATTTTCAAAAAGAAAGCTACTTCCTTGCTTAAGATATCTTTTTTACTATTTAGAAGAAGAGAGTTCCTTAAAGTTACTGGCCTGTGTGTCCAGTTCCAACCACATCTCTCTTGTCACACTTTCATTAACAAAATTAAGTTTACCAGTCAAATGTTCACGTCAGGGCTTTTTTCTCCTCTACAAAGCATGTGTGAGAACCACGGCTGTCTGATGAAGATTGCAGGGAGCCCAACAGCCAATCAGAGGCTTGGATTTCCAGCAGGGTCTGCAGCAGGGTTCTCCCAGGTGGGGCGGCACACAGACCCTGTGGGTCAACCAGTCCTTTCAGGGGAAAGTGCCTCTGTCTCACTACCCCTTTGGCTGGGACCAGCAGCCTGGGAAAAGCATTTGGGCAGCAGTAGTGGGTTACATTCATCTCAGTCTGTATAATGTAAATACTGATTTTATTTGTGAATACAAGTCCTCTTGATAAATGCCTTAATTTTCACTTCAAAGACACTAAGCTTGTGTAAGTCTTAATTTTCATTCTAGTAACTTATTTAGCATCAAATAAAAAGGCGCCATTAAAAAACACACTAGTCAGCCATTCCTAAGTGCACAACTAAGTTTATGCACTATCTTGCCAATGTCCATTTCTTATTCCTGAAATATTATGTATATATTTTATTTCTGCTAACTTCCTGTAATCCCTATTTTTTTATATTTGACAAATTAAAGGCATCTTGATGATTGCCTTTACAGCCCAGACGAAATTGTCACTTTTGACATTTCTGCTGACTTGACTTGCTTTTCATTCAATATTTATAATGCTGAAATGGCTTCAGATTTACATACAACATGAGTGCCAGCCACATTAGCTCTTACTAGAAATTCTTTTTTTTTTTTCTGAAGAAGAGTTGTTCTTAAATTCAACTGTCAATATGTAGTGAGTAAAAAAGTTTCTGTGCTAAGTTTGATCAAGTTTGATGATACCTGTGTGGACCAAATGATAAAACCCAGAATCAGCACTTCGTGCCAATTGTGATTGCATACATGATTATATTCACAGAGAGAAAACATATGTATGTAGGAACATGTGTGAACATCAAACCCATGTTCATATTTAATAAAATGTTATATTTTACTGTTGTTTAATGGTAAAGAACTGAATAAAAGGAATTACTGAAACCAATAACTATTTCTTCCCCATGAGTAATGTTGTTGTTGTTTTTAATTTGTTTTAATTTTTTGTTGAATTTATTGGGGTAATGTTGGTTAATAAAATTATGTGTTTCAAGTGCACAATCTTAGAATATATCATCTGTATATTGTATTGTGTGTTCACCATCTAAAGTCAAGTCTCCTTACATCACCATTTATCCCCACTTTACTCTCTTCTCCCTCCCCAACCTCCTTTCCCTCCAGTAATTACTGTACTATTGTCTGTGTCTATGAATTTGTTTTTTGTTTAATCCCTTCACCTTTTTTACTCAGCCCCGCCCCCAAACATCCTCCTCTCTGACAGCTGTCAACCTGTTCTCTGTATCTATGAATTTGTTTCTATTTTGTTAGTATATTTTGTTCATTGCAGCATTATATACAATAGCCACGATTTGGGAGCAGCACAAGATGAATGCATAAACAAACAAACAAACAAAAAACTGTAGTAAAATTACTAAATAGAATACTACTCGGTCATAAAAAAGAATTTCGTGTGTATGTATGTGACAGCATATTTGAACATTGAGAGTATTGTGCTAAGTGAAATAAGCTGGAGAAAAACAAATACTATATGACTTCACTCATATGTGGAATGTAATGTTGATTTCTTAAATCCTTCTGTCAGGCAAAGAGAATAAATTGGAATACTATTTGGATTTTGAAGTTATGTTGTGTTCTCTCATATTCAATAATATTTTTTATTTAAACTATAGAAATTAATGCTCTATTGTAAAAGAAGCTGAAATAATTCTGCCAAGATTCCTCCCTGTTTCATCCTTTAATTTTGTAGCTTTTCTTATTTATGTATTCTCATGGGTTACGTAATTTCCATTTTGATTCATTGTAATTTCTTGAGTTGTTTATCTCACTTCTTGAGTCAAGTTGAAATCTCCATTTTTTTATTCAAATATACAAAAAAATATGTAGCTTTCTTTATAAATGACAAAGCTTAAATTGTTCAGGAGAGTTTGGCCCACCATACAGAACATAGTTTTTTTTAAAAAAAAATCTAGGCAATTAAATGTAGATAAGCATTTCTAATTCAAGTCAGTTATTTTAAGCATAATTCATTCAATTTTTGGATATACTCAATGAATTAAAAGTTTACATTGTCAGTAAGTTTCACACCACACTATTCAAAAGTAACTTCTCTTCTTTTCCCTATGCCAGACGGTGAGTGGATGTAGAGGGAAGTTTACATAGTCTCACAGAAGCAGTTGAATTGGTCTCCGTTCTTCTGTCCTACATTGTTATTTCTGACTAAGTCTTATAGCTTATATTGAACCCTTTTTGTTCTGGTCTCAAATCTATTGTTCTCCCATCTTTCTCACAGGATTCAGCACCTGAATACTCAGCTATATTCTCTGCAAAATTCTAGATGGTGTGTTTCTTCATGGTTCATTCTAAACCAGCGAGGCACTTACAAGAAAAAAAGTAATAATAACAGCTTCGACACTCATCATTATGTACTGTGTAGACACTCATTTAATCTCAGCTGTTCCTATGCTTGGAGCTGACAAAAACTTAACATAATTTTGCTCTGACCATAGTTTAATTTTAAAGATACAGCAGGCACTAGAGACACTATTATTTGATAAGTTAAAAAGTAGACAAATATACCTACCTACAGAAACACATATTTTTATACGAACTTACATGTTTATATGAAAAGAGAAAATTGCCTAAGGATGCACTCTCTTAAAACAATGACATGTCTGGTAATTCAATTAATCCTTAAACATTTTTTTAAATATATTTTATTGATTTTTCACAGAGAGGAAGGGAGAGAGATAGAGAGTTAGAAACATTGATGAGAGAGAAACATCGATCAGCTGCCTCCTGCACATCTCCCACCGGGGATGTGCCCGCAACCCAGGTACATGCCCTTGACCGGAATCAAACCCGGGACCCCTCAGTCCGCAGGCCGACGCTCCATCCGCTGAGCCAAACCGGTTTCGGCTAATCCTTAAACATTTTTTTTTACAGGGCATCTTCTTATACCAACCATATATTGCTTTTATAACCTTAAGAAAAGCTTTAAATGTGAAATTTTTAAATATATACTTGTGTATAATTTGTTTATTGACCAAGATGGGCTGGTAGCATTCAAACAAAGAGAAACTTCTCATTAATGTCTCTTCTTCCCAGACCATGAGACCTACACCTATTTCATAGTTTTTATAGAAATATTTAAGAACAAAATACCAGTTCACATTAATGACAAATCAGCCAAATATGTGTTATTGCTCTCTTCTATTTAAGATCTATTTTGGATGTATAAGCCTTCAATTTGGAAAGAGGTGAGGAGTCTAGCTTCCAGTTAAAACCTATGAGTGATTTTTCAGGTCAGATCACAGGCAGTAACAAAACTTTACCTGGCAGGCCACTTGGGGGAGAGCTGCCCTCCAGACACCAGACTTAATGCACAGCCAGTGCAGTGCAGTCTCCAAAGGGAGTTGGAGTCAGGGACACAGGCACCTCTGGCCAGTCATTCTCTGCATATTTATATTCCTAGTCCAGGAGCCTGCACTCTGAAGCATTATATGGGTAGCCGATGCTGGCAGCTGGGGGAAGGAAGGCCTACTCTTGCACAGATTTCATGCATTGGGCCTCTAGTTTATATAAAACAGCTGTTTTTTACATTGAATTTAAAATATTCTTAATTTTTAAAATTTAAGTGTAGATCTTCAGGTGCCATACTGAGGATGCCTTATAGGGGAAGAAGAGTTGGAGACACTTCCCCATTCTCACTCAGAACTCAGTGCCTTTCCTAGCCCTTCCCTTCATCCCATCCCCAAGCTCAGAATCTATAAAACTGCTGAAGCTTTTTACTCAGAGCTCCCTCAGCAGCAGGACAACCACCCCTATGTTTATGCTGACCCACCTGAACCTCCACTTCTCCTCAGTTCCATGGGGATAACAGAACAGGAGAAATTGGAGATTTCTTGAATTTTAGACTATTGCTCTTATAGCATCTCAGCAAGTGATTAAGACAATTCTTTCACATTTGGTTTGTTGCTTCAGTTGGCTAATCTGCTGACACCTGGCAATTCAGCTCTCTCTCTCTCTCTCTCTCTCTCTCCTCTCCTCTCTCTCCTCAAGTTTACCTCTTAAATGGAGGAACTGTAGAATTATTTTCTATCACCCATAAGAAGGTATGAATTTGAAATTGTACACAGGTAAATAAAAAAAGTAATCAGAGAAAAGAGGCTAAATTGTTACGGCTGCTGTGAGTATAATCTAACATTAGTTCATTCTGGGTTTATTTAAATCATTAGGAAATCAGGTGTCAGCACCTGTGTTTTCAATTTTCCTAAACTTCCAGTGGACACATGGTAGGATTTATGAATAAAAAAATCCTTAAAAACCCTTACATGTAACGAGGGATAAGAGAGAAAAAGAACAATAGGCAAAGCTATTGGTATACAAATAATTTCCCATTACCAAGCCCTGCATCAATTCCTTTGCCGCCCTTTATAACACCGTGAGGCTGGCCATGGGCTATGAGTCATCCAACTGTTTTGAAATGATTTTTTTTTTGTCTAGTTAAACATAAATCTCCTAGAAGTCCAGACCTTCTCCCCCTCTTGTTTTTTTGCTTGTTTGTTTACTTGTTTTGTTTATTTTATTGAGGTTTGATACCTCAGAAGAAACAGAAAACTGGAAGTAGCAAAGTTTTATATTTAACGTATCAAAACTTCATACCTATGTAAAAACTGTGACATCAGACATTATAGTTCTCATTACATATTCCCATCAGAATAGGGAAACAAGGTCTATATGAACTGAAGAATGATTTTATTCTCCTGCAAAGTAAGAAGAAAGTGATTTTTATAAACCTTAAAATTCTACCACTGTGCTGACTGAACTCATGAAAAAATTATTGGGCCATGATTCACTGAAGATATTAGAAATACATTAAATAATTCAAGAGCATTTTAAAAACTAACAGAGAACTCATTCTAAGAGATCTATTTACCAGGTTCATATTAGCATAAATATTTTAACATTTTCATATCTATTTAAGAATGCATTTTTAAAGAAAATATAAAAAGATTTCAGATAGTTTAACCTTCAAAATTAAACAAAAAAAATATAAATATGACTTGTTTTTTAGATCAGCTCATATGTTTATCAAATGCTTGATTGTCACAACTCTATCATTCAATATTACAGCAGACAATAGTCTGATCTATACCTTAAATTTTTGGTACTGACAGTGGCACTGTTCTTTATGAGTTGGCTTAAATTAATTACTACTTTAAATTGTTTCAACTTATTTACACATATATATTTTAAAGATTATTAAACTATATTTTAAAGAATATTAAAGCAATGTGTATATGTAAACACACATCTACATACACATTATTTCTAGCATTATCTTTTTAAAAGTATTTTTATAAGTTTTTATTGATTTTAGAGAAAGAGAAGGAGAGATAGAAATGTCAATGAGAGAGTCATCGGTCTTTGTCTCCTGCATGTCTCCCGCTGGGGATTGAGCCCACATCCCAGACATGTGCCCTGACCAGGAATTGAACCATGACCTCCTGGTTCATGGGTGGACACTCAACCACTGAGCTACACTGGCCAGGCTCTGGTGTTATCTTTATGGCATTAAGCTTATAATAAAATAAGCAAATCATTAGGAAGTGAAATCAAAAGTTCAAGAATGTGATGGCCCCTATCAACTCTTAAAATTAAGATTAATAAAAGTATTTTAGATTACATGATATTATTAATATTGAAATGAATATTATAACTAAATAATAGTCAATCAGAAGTTTGAATAAAACATGAATCTATATGTAATACCCTTTGTAATACTTTAAGCAATAAAAAAAAGATTAAAAAAACAAACAAACATGAATCTATAAGAAAATCATTTGGCATAATCAATAATGTTTATGTCACTTTTTTTTTTATTTGACAAAGAATTCATAAACTTTAGTGATGGGTGTGACTTCTACCCATTATCTCAATCTTAAAGACCCTTAGGTGACCTGATAATTTAATGATAATGTATTGCAGTGGTTAAGAATGTTGGTTCTGAGGAAAATATATAGAAAATGGCATAGGAGGGTCTGAAAATGATTGGATAATTTTTTTTTCTTTAGGCCTTAGAACCCTCACATTTAAATGGAAGAGATAATAGAACATTATATTACTTATGAACATATATGGAGACATACGTATGTGTGTATATACAGTGGGGCCTTGACTTACGAACTTAATTGGTTCGATGATGGAGGTCGTAACTCAAATTACACCTATGTCAGATCATAAAGTGAACGAGTGAGACACGTGATGCTGGGCTGATGTGGCGTTCACTGTGACGCG